TTTACTTTGGCCACCATTCGTACCATAGATTTTATAGTACCATAGATTTTACAGTACATACTTAAAAGGGAATGTCCTAAACTTTACTCTTAGCCATACAATTGTTGACACCTTTTGAAGATTTCCCCGTGTTTTCAACCTTATTTTTTCTGGGTTGCTATGACTCTATGATTTACCTGCCATGGCTACTCTGTATGGGAGCCTGTCTCTAACAATGCCATGCCAATTAAAAGGGCAGAACACACCTTGCTGCTTCTAATTGAGAGGTGAATAAAAGAAGACATTAAAGCACTCCAGCACAGAATTTTTGGTACCTCCTAGGACTACAAATGGTGGAGTCATTAAAATGATATCAATGGGCTGCCATTGTGGAGTGCAAGAGGCTCTGTACTTTCAAGGGTTTGAGTCAGAATTCTTGTATAAGATGTGAAAATTGAAAGTATACTTACAAAAGGCTTGGGAGTTTGCACTTCACTCTCTGCATGAACCTTATGAGCTAGAGATTCATCTGGAGCCAAAATAACAAAGATACCAAATGCTAGCAGTTTTCCAGCAAAGCATGTACCATTAGAGAGAAAAAGACGTCATACACCTTATGTACAGCTTGGAAGGAACAAGTTTCAAGTAAAACAGTTCCTCTTAACAAATTACTTTTTTGATCGTGAGATATAATAAAGCCACATCTCAAAAAAATATAACAAGTGGGAACAGAATCACTTTACTGTAACATGTAAGACTTTTAAATACTTTCAGAAACAATTTTAAAAGACATTTTTTTTCACAGAATCTTTTTTATCTCCCCAAAAGAAACTACTGTAACAGAAATCTAATTCATTCAAAGACAGATATTTTTAAAACTGCAATTAGTATGGACAACAACTTAATTTTTAAACACAATAAAGAATGTGGAAAGAGTTAATTTGTATATATTTTTTAAAAAATCGGTTGTAGTTCCTCTACAGCAGGGTTTCTCATCCTGGGCAGTCCTGGTCAGGGTTGGCTTGTCGTGCCTTCCTCTTGGCACATTTCTCCGTTTCGCCCTCCATATATCCTGCCCCTGTAAGCAGTCTAGCCGCTGACCTTTGAACCAGTTGAAGTTTCCGAACAGTCTTCTGGGGCATCCCCATGTAGAGCGTGTTAGAGTAATCTAACCTGGATGTGACCAAGGTGTCAGTGGTGGCCAGGAGGGCCTTCACACGAGCTTGTGCACGAGCTGCACCCATACCTTGAAAAGCCCAATCTGGTCATGGCCACCACTGACACCTGGACCTCCAGGGTTACCGTTGAGTCCAAGAGGACCCCCAGTCTGCAGACCTGCGTAGTCTTCAAGGGGAGTGTGACTCCATCCAGCACAGGTTGCAGCCCAATACCCCAATCAGGCCTGCAACTGACCAGTAGTACCTCTGTTTTGTCTGGATTCAATTTTAATTTGTTCATCGTCATCCAGTCCATCACAGCTGACAGACACCGGTTCAGGATCATAAACTCTTATTACATAAACAGCAATAAAATCTAGTATATAAACACCACACTCTTTGCTTGCTGATTTTGAATTCAAATTTTTCTTTTCTTTTGAAGATCTCTTCCAACTCCCATGGATCTTATTGCTGCTTTTATGTTTTATTACTTGTTTTAATGTTTTTATTAAGCTTTGTATCATTTGCCATTTAGGATACTATTTTTCATAACTATTTTTAATCCAGGTTGAGTATCCCTTATCAGAAACGCTTGGAACTAGAAGAGCTTTGGATTGCAGGGCTTTGATATATATATATATATATATATTTAAAAATGGAATACCTGTATTTGCATATATGTACATAACAGAATATTTTGGAGATAGGACCCGTTTATGCACACAAAATTCATTTATGCTTCATATACATTTTATTCACATAGGCCGAAGGTAATTTTATATACAATATTTTAATAATTTTGTGACTCAGAGTTTGTATGCATTGAATCCTCAAGAAACAAAGGTGTCACAATCTCAGCTGCCCACGTGTACAGATTCAGATTTTGGAATATTTTGTATTTTGGAATTCCATAGAAGGGATGCTCAACCTGTAGTTTTATTTTAAAATAAAGGCATATATACAATATTTTTACCACTGTGGATTTTGTTCATTTTTTGTAGGTTGTACCAACTGGTCAAGATTCTCTATTCCTTTGGGATCTTTGTGACCTATTCAATTCAGTTCTACGTTCCAGCTGAAATCCTCATTCCATTTGTTGCCGCTAGAGTGCAGCAGAAGCTGAAACTGGTCTGTGAGTTCGCACTGAGGGCATTTTTGGTCTGCTTGACATGTAAGTACAGGCATTGAGTTTTTGTCATTCCCTTAACAAAGCGGGTTAAAGGCACTGTTTGAAAAGTAGCTGAATTTTAGCATGCATTTTGGGCATTTTAAATCTTTGTAAAATAAGTGCAATTTAAACTGATTGTGTGGGCATGGACTACTTAAGAAATATAAGGATTCATATGATTTGCCAATATGCTTTGTGGGTTTTTTTTGCATGCCATAAGCTGATTTGTCACCTGTGGTCCATATGTTGCAATCTATAAGCTGGCTCCGTCTTCCAATTAGTTCAGTTTTAAATTTATCTTGTATGTTAGTTTCTCCTTGAGTGAAGGGGTAAAGTTATAGAAATGGGCTCTGCGTGCATACAGGGAGCTATATCCTCTCAGTTTATGCCATGGGTGTCTGAGACTGCTTTGTATAGAGACCTTTAATTCCAGGTTCCTTGCAAGGCTCTGTGTACAAAGTTCCACACAATAAGTCTTACCATGTTCAAATGACTGCAATAATGTTTGAGTAACATAGCAACGATTGGGAGAAACAAGGGATACCATCATGTTAGGGATGGTATCCCTTGTGCCCTTGCAGTGCACTTTGCCTCTTCACCTAAAGCAATGGTTCCCAACCTGTGGTCTAAAGAACTAAAATATGGTCCGCGGCCTCACTGTTACTGCACCGTTGCAACAAGAGCGACTGGTCTTGCAAAGCCCTCTTATAGTGCCGAGCATTAACAAAATCCTCAGATAATATCACAGCCTGTTCCTGGGGTTATTTGGGGTGCTGATTCAGAAAATTGGATAGACCACATCAGCTCTAGATTATTAAATATGATTTTCTGTAGGCAAGCAGATGGCAACTACTGGATGGCATATGTTCTGTATCAGAAACTAGAGCTGATGTGGTCTATCCAGTGCAATTTTATGAATCAGAACCCTAAATAACCAAACCAAATCTAAAGTTGACCAGAACTTTAGATTTCATATAGTTGATTTTTAGGTTGTTCAGGGAACAGTTGTTCAGGAATTTCCTTAGTAGGTAGTTTAGACTTGCCTTGGAGTATGAGATGATGGCAGCAGCATCTGCATAAAGCTGTAAGGGGATTCTTCTAGTTCCAAGCTTGGGCAAGTGACCATTGGGGTCCAGAACGGTATCCTCCATATCATTTATGAATATATTGAACAGAGTGGGGCAAGGATGCCCCTTGTTTTTAGCCAACATGTATTTTAAGCAGCTTTTACTGTTTGCAAATGTATCCACTGGATGTTCTTAATCTCATTACCTGTATAACTTGTATGCTACAGTGTAATAAGGGTCTCTGAACGATAATAAAATTTATCTATCTATAGGTTGTTGTAGGTTTTTCCGGGCTATATGGCCATGTTCTGGAGGCAATTTTTCTCCTGACGTTTCGCCTGCATCTATGGCAAGCATCCTCAGAGGTAATGAGTTTTATAGACCTCATTACCTCTGAGGATGCTTGCCATAGATGCAGGCGAAACGTCAGGAGAAAAATTGCCTCCAGAACATGGCCATGTAGCCCGGAAAAACCTACAACAACCAATGGATTCCGGCCATGAAAGCCTTCGACAATATATCTATCTATAGTTGACCAAAAACCGTTTCGTAACCCTTTTGGTACTTTTTTGGAGAGTGATCCCTGGTCAAAGTGGTCCCTGGTAGAAAAAAAAAGTTGGGAACCACTGGTCTAAAGAGTTCATGAAGAAGAATAGTATGGATGTATGTTAGCTTAAATGAATCTCTTGGATGTATGTGTATCAGGTTGTGTATTAACTTTATGCTCAGAGACTTGCCTGATTATTACCTTCTTAAAGTCAGAAACCATTGTAATTATGCTAGGATAGTTTATAGCAGTGCCTATTATTAACTCCAGCGGTTATGTCAACTTTGCCCCTTTCAAACTCCAACTTTCAACACTTCCCTTTCTGCCTTCGTGGCAAGTATTGGAGTATTTGAGTATTAGTGCTTAGTAGGGGTGAGTGAAACTTCAGAAATTTGTACTTTTTTCATTCTGTTTTTGTGTTCCCCTCCCCCCATTCTGTTTTTGGAAAGATTCCTGGAGATTAGGAGGAGAGCCATTCATTCGTCATAAATTTATAAAATTCTTTGAATTTAGTTTTGAAGAAAATATGGCAACCCCCAAGTTATGAACATTTGACATATCAATGTTTCCTAGTTGTGAGCGCCCCAAGGGGCAGCCAATGCACTCCCTCCCCACTCTCCAGCCACCCATGTTTCAAAGGCCGCATCCTGCTCCCAATACAAAAGGCGAGGGCAGCACCCAAAGAGTCTGTCCTGGCACCAGGCATGCTGAGAAATGTAGTTCACTGCCCCTTTTGCGCAGACTCGTTTGGGAGTCTAAAGAGGAGAGAGCAAAACCTTATGCTGGTGCCAGGGTCTTGTGAGAACTGCAGAGTGTTGCAGTTCAGCCCTGGTTAGTACTTGAAATGGGGCACTATTTATTTCTTTATTTACAACATTTATATTCCGCCCTTCTCACCCTGAAGGGGACTCAGGGTGGATCACAGAACATATACTTGGCAAACATGCAATGCTGTTAGACAGACAGGACAGACAATGGGTAGAGATATTTTTCCCTCAACTTCGGCATCCTGGAGGTTGTGCTCGATTCTGGCCACAGGGGATCTGTTGCTCCATCCTCTAGGGATCCTTGATCACAGACTTCCTCCATTCTTTGATCGCTGGCATTTTTGGTACTTCTTTTTTTATGGTGCCGTAAAATACTACCAATGAATACCAGATGTGGTTAGGCAAGAAAGCACGATGATGGCAAGGTGGTCGGGAACACGTTGGCCACCCCTCAGAAATTCAGTTTGTGAACAAACCTAAAGAACTTACCTTATTCGTAACCTGGGGACTGCCTCTGTAAGAGGCATGGCCAAACTTTGTCCCTCCAGCTGTTTTGGACTTCAACTCCCATAATTCCTAACAGCCTATCAGCTGTTAGGAATTGTGGGACTTGAAGCCCAAAACACCTGGAGGGCCCAAGTTTGCCCATGCCTGCTCTATAAGCAAGAAAATAAAATAATTTACGTAGTGTAGAAAGGCGCCAGCCTAATCATTCATTTTATTAGAACTGGACTTGTCATGTGTTAAGCAGAAATTAGTCATTTACTTTGTTGGGTGCTGGGAGCAGTACAAACGCAGCCTGGTAATGAGTAGGCTCTTTTGTATTAGACTGCATTCACATGTCCTTTTGAATTAGGTCTCTGAAATACTTCTATACAAACTGATCACTAGGGAAGGCAGTTTTCTAAAGAAGGTTAGTTCTTGGGGTTTTAACAGCCTCCATGTACAAAAGATAAACCGGGGATTTTTCATCCTAGGTGTGAACAAAAAGCCTGCAGGCTGTTGTAGTCCAGTTAAGTTGCCATGGGTCAGTCCGGTACTTCGATGGGATGCTGCTTAGGGAGGTTAAATACTCTGCTGCAATTTCTGTTAATGGAAGAAAGGGGAAACGTGAATGTACTACACAAATATCAATATGGGATAGTAATCTTGCGCATTTCTATAGAATCGTTATCCATTTTGGATTGTTTCATTCATAAGGTCCTGTTTTAATTTTCGAGCGTCTCTCCCGAAAATGAGTGCCTTTCCGAATGAGCTTTTTTATTCCAGGTCCGAAACATCAAAATTTTTCGGACCATTGGCCAACATAAGCAGCATTTTCAGGCTCCCCTTCCCCTCAGTTTTAGGGCTAGAGGGTTTTTTTTTTTTTTGTCGTGTCAGGGCAACCAGTCAATTCTATTACATTTCTAACAGAACGAAGCAAACAAACTGACAAAATACAAAATTTGTGAGTTTGGTAGTTGACTAAATGTCCTTTGACCAGTATCTGGCCACTTGGAGTGCTTCTGGTGTTGCTGCAAGAAGGTCCTCCATGGTGCATGTGGCAGGGCTCAGGTTGCATTGCAGCAGGTGGTCAGTGGTTTGCTCTTCTCCATACTCGCATGTCGAGGATTCCACTTTGTAGCCCCATTTCTGAAGGTTGGCTCTGCATCTTGTGGTGCCAGAGCGCAGTCCGTTCAGCGCCTTCCAAGTCGCCCAGTCCTCTGTGTGTCCAGGGGGGAGTCTCTCATTTGGGATCAGCCATTGGTTGAGGTTCTGGGATTGAGCCTGCCACTTTTGGACTCTTGCTTGCTGAGGTGTTCCAGCGAGTGTCTCTGTAGATCTTAGAAAACTATTTAGCTTGTTAAAACTAAAGATTCCTGGCCGTATTTGTAAACTTCAATCTTTTTGGAATTGGAAAGTTTTTGACTGAACTTTGGGTACAAGGTTGGACTGAAAAAGCCACGAGCCGTGTTTTGAGGACAAAATGTGTTGGCTTTTGCAGTCGTTTCTTTGAGAGTGACGTAGACATTTGACGCAAGTACCATCCTCAATTATCAATTAGTCCCAGTTGGAGATTATTGGAGGAAGAAGTGAGAAATCAAAACAATAGCTTAAGGTTTCAAATGGCTTTTAAATATCTAACAAATTAAATTTGGTTTCCAGTTGGGCTTTGGAAATGTAGTTGAACTTGTAAAAGGTTATATCTTAAATTGAGTTGGTTTTAATGTACTGGGTAGGAAACGTGTTTTAAATTGCTGATCAATTAAATAAAGGTTGCTATCGAACAGATTTCAGTGGCTTTGTAATATCAGTGATTTGACTTCCTTTTTAATGTGAAGAAGTGGATTTTTCCCCCCTTGTCTGGTCCTCAACACTGGTGACTCACAGGAAGGGAGAAAATGTTCTAAAGGCTCTCTTAGCCACCATGAAAATCTGAATAAGTTTGTGCAATATGTAAGAAGAGGGAGAAGAAGGCAAAAACTTCCCTGAAGCCAACATGGATAAGAAGAATTTATTTATTACTAGCTTGGGGACCCGGCGCTGCCCGGGTTATTAGAGAAAGGAATTGTATATCAAGGTTGGTGTTTATCAGTTATTTATATGGCTCGCAGTGGTCTCAGGAAGTTAGTGAAGGTACTG